AGAGTACAAAAACGCTTAATCGTTTTGTGAGTATTCATTTAAATGCAAGTCATCATTATTGTTCATATTACATTAATTATACAAAATTCGAATTATTCATTAATTAAATAATTATTTGCAGTTTTAGTTGTTATTTCAACGATTAAAAATAATCCATAAATTAATATTTTTTCTGATGAATGTTATAAAATTAATATATCAAACACCAATAAAATAACACTTTTAATTGAATAAAAAATCAACTTAAATTTGTTTTTTATATCAAAAAAAACACATTCACAAAATTTGAATAACACCAAAATTTTTTATAAATCATTATTATAATAATAATTATTTTTTGTCTAATTTTAGTTTAAAATTATTATCAAATATAATTGCACACTTTATAAGAATTGTTTTAATTTCAATTCTGAATAACATCCATATTTTATTAAAAATTATTTTATTATTATTAACCAACATTTTATATTTATATAAATAGTTTAATATATCACAAATATTTAAATAAAATAAACTTCCTTTTTAATTAAAAAATTATGTATATAACCTCCAAAACAAAAAACCCTTTTCGTTTTTTTAAAAAACAATTTCCTTCTAAAAATAAACTTGAAAAAACTTATAACTTTCAAACAAGTATGTCCTCTATTATTACATCACTAAAGATCAATAAAAATGAAGTTGTGATAAATAAAAAGATATATGATGGACCTTATTCTTCAATTTTTAAAGGGCAGATGTTAGGGTTGAATGTTGCTGTAAAAACAATCAACATCATATTATCGACATCAGAGACTGAAATATTTTTCCGTGAGGTTTCCCTCCTTCAAACTTTACAACACAAAAACATAATAAAACCAATTGGGATATTTACTGACAACGAACATTTGTCTTTAGTCACTGAGTACTTTCCAGGTGATTTGGATCGACTCATCCACTCGCCTAAGACACTCGACTTTTCGTTCACCACCACTTTAAATTACATGCAAAGGCTTCAGATAACCAACCAATGTTGCCAGAGCGTCATTTGGCTGCACACCCGTTGTGACATAGTGCATCGAAACCTGCAGCCGAAAACTTTTCTCATTGACCAAAATTTGAATGTCAAACTTGGCGATTTGGGGTTTGCAGAGGTCTCCAAAGGCGAACAGAACACCATAGAAGGGGCACCACTGTATTGTGCACCAGAGGTGTTAAAGAGGAAAGGCAAGACGGGGAAGGAGAGTGATATTTATTCGTTAGGAATAACAATATGGGAAATTTTCTATATGAGGAGACCCTTTGAAGAGTACTTCCATCTGTTTAGTGACGACTTGAACACTTTTACAAAGTTTGTGGATGATGGGTTAAGGCCTGTATTACCTCGAAAGTTCTTGACGGACGACGTGGACCAGATTATGCACGACCAAGTACTCACTATATATAAGAAGCAAATTGAGGAAACGCCTATTGAAATTGATACTTTAATTGAAAAGTGTTGGAGTGGAAATGCAAGTAAACGGCCGACTATCGAAGACCTTTTGAAGAACATTTTTGAGTTATTAAGTCGAGTGTGTATGAACGAAGATGAGTGTGTGTGGTGGGAGAAAAATCTGTGTAAAAAGTCTCAAATTTATGAAGGGGTGTATGACGCAGAAAATTTCCTTTCGATACTTGAAAACAACTTTAAGACGAGTTTTAGTAAAGAGAAGAAGTATAAGGAAATAATAAATAAAATTGGGGAACAGGGAGAAATATCACAAAAAAGATTTTCATTCTTGTGTAGTATCTTTGGGAAGTATTATAAGAAGAAAGAGAATTATAAAGATATGATGAGAGTGTTGGGAGAGGAGTGGTACTATGGAAACATTTCAAAAGAAGAAGCAAATGTTTTGTTAGAAGGGAAGGAAGAAGGCACGTTTTTAATTAGAGAGTCAAGTACTATACTACATAAACCTTTGACGTTGTCTAAAGTCGAAAATAGAAGTGTGATGAACACAAGAATTGCGGTGTATGAAACAGAAAACAAAAACAAGGAATATTCAATTGAAACTAAATTGGCTAAGAAAAAGAAAAACAATATTGTGGATTTGATCGATGAACTTGTAGAATTAAATATTGTAAAAACACCTTGTGGTCATCAGGAATGCTAAAAATATTTGTAGTGTTTTTATTTTTATTTAACATGATTGATCGTTTATAGGTATAAAAAACTTAATATTTTCAATTAAAATGAAAAGTTGGGTTTCATCTATAATTACGCCAAAGTTATTTAATTGACCTGTTTTTAATGATTAATAAAAAGTTTTTAGTTGTTTTTTCCTTTTTGGTTTGTAATGTTTTTTATTATAAACTTCTTAAAACAGGTTAAAAATTTTATAAACATAAAATTTTTACCAAAATTTAGACTAATGGATTTTTTTCGATGTTATTTGAAATGTTAATGTTGGATGGGTGTCATTGATTTTAATAATTTAGTCGAATGGTAAATTTTTAATATATATTTGGTTTCAAATAGTTATCTACTAAATAATTGAATAATCATCATTTCAAACAACTGAAATTTTATCCTCTTTAATTTCAAAAATAAATAAATAAATTAAAACATATTATTACTTAAATACATTGTTATGATTTTTCTGTTGTTGATCACACTTTCTGTATCTTTTGGTCAACCCGAAAAACCAAAAACACCAACAACCGAACCAAAAAAATCACCCAAAAGAAAAATGGAAGAAGAAAAACCAAGTACTTCACAACAAGGTGCCAAAAAACTATTGGTAGATTACCCTTCTTCAGATGAATCCGACTCTTCAAGTTCAACAATTTCAACAAGAAGTCGAAAATCAAGTGAAGAAAAAACACTTCAAGTTGCTTCCCCATTGCCAAGTTACATGGTCAGACCATTTACAGTGGCTATCACACATTATCGTATGTGTTATCCATCTCGTAAAAAATTTAAAACATATTATTATATGTTATTTTCGCAATACTGGCCCGGTGAAGTTTGTTCTGGAATTATATGCACGTTATCACACAGAACAGAGAAAGTTGAAGAAGGATTTTTTCTTCATGGATATTGGCCACAATACAAAGAAAAAATCGAATATTACTGTTGTGAAAACGAACATACTGTTACTCAAGTGGAAAGTATGATGCTTGAAGATATAGAGTTGGAAAGAGATATAGCAACTTATTGGATGTCTATTGATGCATGTAGATTGGTGGGATATCAATGGGACAAGCATGGCAGTTGCGCGAGTGATATCTATTCAAACCCACTTGATTATTTGAGGACAGCAATTAATCTAAGAAAGAAAGTAAATATTTGGAAAGAGTTACAAGAGAGTTATTTGAAAGTAAAAACAAACACTTTATATCACTTGGAAGAATTAAAATCAGTGATAGAAAGAGTTTATGGTACTTCTGTATACTTCGCTTGTCGAAATAGAAACTCTGTTTATGACCTCAGAATATGTTATTACCCTTTCACCGACAGATTTAATCCTCATCCAATGAGATGTCCTCTAAAAATGAAAAGGTATGAAATCAAAACATGTGATGCAAAAGTAATGTTCAAAGATTTCCCTTATTACTTAACCAAAAAAGAATTGGTGACAAGAAACAATTGTCTGTATTAACTTAATGTTTAAATTGGAAATTTTGTAAATTTTTTATTTTAAAAATTTTATGGTTATAACTTGTCAATAAACTTTTTATATTTTAAAAGGAATAAAAATAAAATAAAAAAAAATAAAACAACTTCAAATTATTCAAATAAAATATAGTTTAATAATTAGGATTTTTAACTTTCTAAAAACCATGACTTATCTTTATTTGTGAATAACCAAAAATAAAAAAGTTATTTGATTATTTTTTGATTGAAAGATATTACAAAGTATTGTTTATAAAACAATTGTATTAATGAAATAATTATAATTATTTTTTACTTTTAAAAACAAATTTAAACAAGTTATTTAATGTTGTTAAAAATATTTTTTTAATTCCTTAATTATAATCTTTTAACCCTTATTGTTCTTATGTTAAGTTTTTTGTTATATTTCATATGTCTAACAATAGGCCAACCATTTGTCCCACATTCATCATCAGAATCAGAAGGAGAATTATCTCCAAGACCTTCAACATCAACGGGGGTTACAAGAAAACGACCTGGTGCTTCTCCCGAACCCGAACAAACAAAACGAAGACTTTTTGAAGAAGGAACTGAAACCAGAACTCCACCCATTCCTGGTGTTATAGCACATCCTACCACTACACCAATACCTTCACCAATTCCATCTCGAATAGTTCGACCTTTTATAAAAGCTTTAAGAAGTTATCAAATGTGTCATGGTTATATAAAACCGATCAAACCATTTGAAATGATGATCTTTTCCCAGTATGGCCAGGTGAAGTTTGCAAGAAAATAGTTTGCACATTGTCTTTTAGAACACAAAGTATTGAAAAGGGATTTCTAATACATGGACTGTGGCCACAATATCGAGCAAACAAAAATTTGTACTGTTGTCTGAGTCTTTATACCGCAAATAATTATGAAAGCACTGTTTTAGAAGATCCTGTTATTGAACCGGATTTCAAAAAGTATTGGCCTTCAATTGATATGTGTAGGATGGCGGCTTATCAATGGGACAAACACGGAGGATGTTCAAAGGATGTATATAGTCCAAAAGAGTGGACAAGTACAACAATAAAATTGAGAAAAGAAGTCGACTTTTGGAAAATGTTAGAAGAAAGTGAGTTGAAAGTCGAAGAAAACACGTTTTATGATATCCAAGATTTAAAAAGAATTGGGAAAAGTGTTTATGAAGTTGAAGTTTATTTCATATGCACATTTGGTATTAACATTTCTGATTTGAGAATTTGTTATGATGTTCATATAGATAAAACCAACCCAAGACCAGTTGAATGTCCAAGAAAAGTTGGAAAACTTGAAGAAAAAAGTTGCAAAAACAAAGTTAAGTTTAGATCCTTTCCTGAATATTTGACAATGAAAGAAACCGCACAAAGGAATAATTGTTTGTATTGAGTAATGGAAATTTTTTATTGTTATTTGTTATTTAAAATATTCAAATTTATCTTGACTGTTGTTTGTATTAAACAGAGTAGTATAGAAATTATCATCAAAAAATCAATGTTGTGTATGGATTCAATACTTTTATTTTTAAGTTATTTTTAAATAACAAATCTAAATTTAAACATTAAACATTACAATTACCTCTGGTTATGAAGCGAATATATAACTTAAATTTAATAATACAAAAAACTCTAAAATATGAAAAAACGAAAATGGTGTTCTGGTATTTTTGGTTTCTTTCTTTCGCTTTTGAACAACCAGACAAACCCAAAGAACCCGAAAAACAGTCAGAAGCATCAGGTACAACATTTCCATCACTTGAACCACTTCAACAAGATTTGCCATCATCAAGTGAACAAGTTGTCAGAAGAAGAGTTCCAAGGACACAACAACAACAAGCTCAACCAACTCCACTTACGTTTCAATTACATCCTTCAACAATCAAAAAATTACGACCATTTTCACAATGTAAAAAGTACATAAAATTCGAAAAGAAATTTGAATTTTTGATGTTAGTTCAGTATTGGCCTGGTGGTCGTTGTTATGATTATAAATGTTCTTTGCCACAAACACTTCCTCAATTAAAAGAGAGTTTTTGGCTTCATGGACTTTGGCCACAATTTATTTTGAACAGAAACATGTTTTGTTGTTGGTCTCCTTTTAACGTGTTTCAAGTTGAAAGCCAATTAATTAAAAATGAACCTTTGTTTCAGGAAATCAAAGAGTTTTGGCCATCAGTGGATTCTTGCAAATTGAGTCTTTATCAATATGACAAACATGGTGCATGTTCGCTCACTACTTATGAGGGTAAAGATGGTCCTTTTGACTATTTTAGAATGGCTATTGAATTATGGAAGAAAAATGATGTTTGGAAAATACTAAAAGACAGTCGTTTGAAAGTTGAAACGAACAAATTGTATAAATTAGACAATTTGAAGGAAATAATATCAAATGCTTATGGAGGAAAAGTGGCGTTTATGTGTCGAGATTTGACTTCTATTTATGAAATAAGAGTGTGTTATGACCACAAAATAAATAAATATGACCCAACACCAATTGACTGTCCTGTAAAGGTGTTCAAAGAAGAAAAAAGAAGTTGTGCAGACATGGTATTGTTCAAGGAATTTCCATTTTATTTGTTGAATATCGAGACTGCACCCAAAAACAATTGCGTGTATTAAAATTATATATTATGTCAATGTATAACTTTATAATAATGTTTTTTATTTCATTTTAATTTGTTTTATCATTTATTAATATTTATGTTGTTTTTTATTTGATGACAAATAATAGGTATTAAAACTTAATATCTGTAATTATTATTTATAAACAATAACAATTATATTATTTTTTATTTTAATTTATGTTATTAATATTTGATCAGTTTACACAATATTTAAAATCGGGTTCAAAAAATAGTTATCTGCAAAATTAACTACATGAAATGTAGCAAAATTTTGAATAAATTTTTTTTTGTTTTATATAATTTGAATATTAACAACAAAAAATTAATTTTAAGTGTTATTAAAAAAAATTGACAAATTTTATTTTTACTATAAATGACTCAAGTAATAAATTGGGTATTTTTGGAATTATATAATAATTATTGTTTAATCATTATTCAAATTAATATTTTTTATAACATTCAAGTCAATATGATTGTACTAAAAAACAAATCAATGGTTTTACTTTTGGTTTTGCTCTATTTTTTATTTACAAAAGGACAACCAGACAAACCCAAAGAACCCGAAAAACAGTCAGAAGCATCAGGCACAACATTTCCATCACTTGAACCACTTCGACAAGCTTTACCATCATCAGACGAACAAGTTGTCAGAAGAAGAGTACCAAGAACACAACAACAACAAGCTCAACCAACTCCACTTAAGTTTCAACTACATCCTTCAACAATCAAAAAATTGGATTATTATCAACCATGTAAAACTTATTATGCTTATACAAAAAAGTTTGATTATATGTTGTTTGTTCAGTATTGGCCTGGTGGTCGTTGTTATGATTTTAGATGTTCGCTTCCTTTAAAAACTCCTTTTGTTAAAGAAGGATTTTGGCTCCATGGACTTTGGCCACAGAAAAGGCAAAATAGGAACATTTATTGTTGTAGAAACAATTTTAATATTTATGAAATTGAACGGAGGTTACAAACAGACCCTTTAATATCCCAAGACATTCACAAATATTGGATGTCAGTTGATAATTGCCGTCTTGCTCTTTACCAATTCGATAAACACGGTACCTGTGCACTTACAGCTTATCAAGGAAGTAATGGTCCTTATGATTATATTTGGACTGCAATAAATCTTTGGAAAAGAATAGATATTTGGAAAATTCTAAAAAACAGTCATTTAAACATCAAAACAGAAGAATTGTATGATATCGAAAAGTTGAGAGAAATCATTTCAAATGTTTACAAGGGGAAAGTTGCTTTTATGTGTAAAGAGATGACTTCTATTATAGAACTAAGAATATGTGTTAACATAAAAGGGGATAAATTCAATCCTGAAGTTATTGATTGCCCAGAAAAAATTTTAAAAGAAGAAGAGAAAAAATGTTCCAAAATGGTTTTATTTAAAAATTTCCCAACCTATTTGTTGGACCCTTCCACTGCACCAAGAAATGATTGTCCTTATTAATTAACATATTAATGTCAATCATTAATTCACAAATAACAATTCAAATACAAAGTTGTTTATAAATACTTTTTAAATATTTAAATTAATAATCATCATTATTATATTTTTTGTTTTTTTTATTATATTGGTTTTTTTTACCTCAATTCAAAACCTTTTTAAATTATATTTTAAATAACTTCTGATCATTTATCTACAATAGAACAACAACATCATTATATTGTAAATCATATAAATATATGATTATACTGACTATTTCTTGTATATTATTTTTGTGTTTTTCAAATCGAAGTTAATAAACTGAATTTGTTAATATCATTTTATGTTATTAATTTTGTTTATAACATCTACTTTTGGGCAACCAGATTCACAAGATGAAGACTCTGAAAATCCGAATGATTTTCCTTCTTTGAAACCATTACAAGAAACACTACCTCGCTATCCCAGACAACCAAGAAATCTTCCACCAAGATTTAGAGGAAGGGAACAAAGAGGTGGTGGAAGATTTCAAAGACCGCAACCTTTTGAACCAAAACCGCCATCTTTTATTCCTCCCAGAATCCAAAGACAATTCGAACAACATACAGAAACTAGACAAAAAGAAAAAGAAAAAGAAAAGGAGGAACAACATTTTCAAACAGTTTCACAACAAAAATTTCCACCCATTTATCACGAAAAATCAAAAATTGAAGTTAAAAGTCAACATCAAATTACTCCTCAATTTCAAACAAAGGATTTACAAAGAAAAATCATCCCTCCATTACAACTGCCATCTTTTCCAATACCCCAAAGTGATCCAACAACTAAGTTTCTTCATTCTGCGTCTCAACAACAAGTTGTGAGACCAAAAACCATACAAACCCAAACACCAATTCACCAACCTTCACAAATACAACAGAAAGAAACAACAGAAATCAAGAAAAAGATTTTCCATAAACCGATTTTACATACAGAACACACTTTCCCATTAAATCCTGTGCCACCTGAAATTATCCCCATTAAAGAACTGTTGAAAAAACTCAATAGTTACAACATGTGCCCAACTTATAAAAAATCCCAAAGACATGATTATATGGTATATTCAGAATATTGGCCAGGAGAAAAATGTTCAGATGATCAATGCACATTCCCAAAAGAAACTGAACAACTTGAAGAAGAATTTATGATTCATGGATTTTGGCCACATTTGCACATTAATCGAAATTTGTTTTGTTGTCTCAATTGGCATGGCCCAGAAAATTTTGAAAATTCGTTATTAATGGATAAAGTGTTATTAAAAGATATTCAAAAATATTGGATGTCAACTTCTTTGTGTCGGTTCGCGACTTATCAATGGGACAAACACGGGAGCTGCACTTTTAACGTTTATAGAGGACCACAAGGACCTAAAAGTTATATGAAAGTTACTTTGTTTTTACACAGCACATCTCAATATTGGAAATTATTGAAAGAAAGTCCGTTACATGTAGAAACCAACAAAATGTACAAATTGGAAGATTTAAAAGATGTTTTAAAAAAGAAATTTGGAGTTGAGCCTTCATTTGTTTGTCGTGACCAAATTTCTGTTTACGAAATAAAAATATGTTATGATATTTATAAAAATCCATTTAATCCTAAACCTATTAATTGTGGTGATAGAGTATACACTTACGACAAACCAAGATGTGACCCTTATGTGTTGTTTAAACCATTTCCACCAGAGTTGAAAAGAAAGGAAACCATGCCAAGAAATGAGTGTTTTTATTAAGAATTAATGGGTTTTGAATTTGAATACAAATTAGTAGTTTTTTATTTATTACGTTTCTGTCTTGTATGGTTAAGTTATTCATTTATTATTACAATTTATAAAACATAAGAATTTAAGATATGTTTTATTATTAATTATAAAAATTGATTATATCATGGTTGTTTCTAATTTAATAAACTATTCTCATTCATTATCAAATCAACTGTATTAGTTTTATTGATAAATGTTTAAAGATCAATATTTTATTATTATTTTGTTATAATATAAAGAATATCCTATTTTAAAATATAAAAACAAGCAATCAAATATAAATACATTTCATCACGACACTTTATTTGTAATTGTTTTTTTTAACAATTAAAACACAATCACTACTTTTCAAACTAACTTTTAAAAATATATAAAATTATTATCTCAAAATTATCAACTTTAATCATTCCATCTTAATAAAAAAAATAAGAATTTGATCGTAATTACATGCATTGTATATAAAATATAAATTATCTATATTACGACCATGATTTATCAAAAATACAAAATTTGTGATTGTATTTATATTTATTTTAAACTTGTTTCAATAAAAATGTGATGTGTTCGTTTTTAATGATTATTATGGTTTATTATGGCAATTCATAACATTTTAAATACCAAATAATTTGAAAGGTAGTAAAATTTGATTTGGAGTAATTATCAATCTTTAACAGATTGCTTAATTTATTATCACGTTTCTAAATATAGCCAAATGATAGAATTTGGTTATATTTAGATTCTATCACAAATATATCATATAATTTTAAAATAATTCATTTAATAATGTTTTAATTTTAATTTATATTGTTAAAAAATCTAATAATTAATAAGAAGTCAACTTTTTAAGAATTAAAACTACTTTTTTATTTTTGAACATTATTTTATTTTTAAAAAACAATCTAAATTACATTTGAATTGTCATATGTTAATTGTATTACTTTTGAACATAATGTTAACATTTGGACAACCGGATAAAAAAGATGAATCAGAAGATCCAAATGATTTCCCTTCATTAAGTAACATTAAAAAAACTCTACCCAACATTCAACTAAATCCAAGGTCCATCCAACCAAGAATGAGAGACGACCAACAACAACACAGACTCACTTATCAACAATACCAACAACAAATACACCAACATTCAAATCAAAAGGGACAAATAATACATCAACAATTATCTTATCAACAACAGCAACAATTGATACATCAACAACGAGGAGATGGCTCACATTCGCAGAATAGGCAATATTATAACCCTCTAATTTATATA